CCTCAGGATTTACCGTGAAGCCCTGTACAGCTGTTTGTAGATCTTTTGTCAGTGTCAGCCATCTAGATAAGTCCTGGCCATTGCTTGACCAATTTGTTTTCTGTAAAAGCCTGAGAGAATATTTTCTCTCCATGTGACTCTCCTTAGGCATACTCTACATTGTCAATCACTCTCTTCTGTGGCCCCATAATCTCCTTGATCAGAAAATTTGGGACACCATTGAGTTATGGGATGTTACAGTACAGGTTCTCTTATATCCTAAGTCTTCACTTACCTAGGGCCAGGGCTAGGGCCACAATGTTGGCTATCCTTGTAGTTCTTCTTTTTCTCTAATTTTTTGGTCTGCAAACTTAAGTTGTTAACCCTCCAGAAAAGAAGCTTAATGATATTATTAACCTAAAACATAGGCTGTTGAGCTTAATATCAGTATCTGTCTAAATATCAAATCTGTACAGAAAGTGAAAAAAAATAAAAAATTAAAAATGATAGTAAAAAATAGAAATAGACAATTACAATTTTTGAACATAAATTTAGAAATCCAACCATATATTACATTGTAACAGGACAGTCCTATGACAGAAAGAAGAAAAAATGTCAGAGTCAAATATCAATAGCATTTTTGTACACAAACAATGGACACACCGAGAAAAACTAGGGAAACCATGCATTTAGCAATATCCAAAAAATACTTAGGCATCAGTCTCACAAAGGAATAAAAAATGTATACAATGAAAATTATAGTACTCTGACAAAAGCAATTGAAGAGGATTTCAGAAAATGGAAAGGTATTCCTTGCTCCTGGATAGGAGAAACCAACCTTGTTAAAATGCCTTATTATCAAAATTGTTGTACAGATTCAATGCAATCCTGATTAAAATACCATTAATTTACCTCACAAAGTTAGAGAAAACATTCCTAAAATTCATCTGGAACCAGAAGGGACCCAGTATACCAAAAGCAAGCATGGGCAACAAAGGCAAGGCAGGAATTATCACAGTTCATGTCTTGAAGTTATACTATAAACCTACTGTGATAAAATCAGCATAAAACTGGCATAAAAACAGACCTGAGACTCAGTGAAACAGATTAGAAAATGGAGACACAACTACAAACAGACTCAGTCACTTTGTCTTTGACAAAGGGGCCAAACATGTTCACTGGAAGAAAAATAGCCTCTTTAAAAAATGATGCTGAAAAATTGGCTTTCCATATGCCAAAGCCTAAAATTGAACCCATGCCTATCACCATGCACAAAACTACAGTCAAAATGGACAAGATATTTAAACAATAAAAGAGATAAACTAAATTTCCTGTAGGAAATTTTATTTTATTTTATTTTCATTTTATTCATTTTTATTTTTTTGGCGGAACTGGGTATTGAACTCAGGGCCTTGTGTTTACCAGAGAAGTGCTTATTCTACTGAGCCATCTCCCCAGATCCCTATAAATCTTAAAGACATAGAGGTAGAGAGTTCCTGAACAAAAATGAAACTGTACAGGAGATACTTCAATAAATCAACAACTGGGATCTCAGGTTTCTGAAAAGTGTCTGCGCATCAAAAGAAATCACCAACAGTGTAAAAAGAAAACCCAGAAATTGGAAAACAGTATAGCCAACTGTCCTTCTGACAAAAGCCTTTTATCTAGAACATATAAATACTTAAAAAGAATCTGGCTCCCAAAATTCAAAAACCCAATCCAAAAATTGGTATCTAAGGTGAGTACACACTTGTAAAATCAAGAAATACAAAAGGTAAATAAATATATGAAAAAATGTTCAACATCATTGTTGATTTGGGAAATGCAAATAAAACAACACTGCAATTCCATATAACCCCAGAAAGATGGTTAACATCAAGGAGTCAACCAGTGACAAATTCTAGAAGGGCTGCAGGGGAAAGGAACGATTCTCCACTGTTGGTGGGCGTGCAGACCAGTACAACCACTGTGGAAATCAGTGTGGGAGATTCCTCCTAAAGCTAGGATTGGAGGTCCTATTCAAGCCAGCTATTAACCCCAGGGGAAAAGAACTGTGGGAAGAACTGAAAATATCATACCTTAGAGATTTATATGCCCCCATGTCTATAGTCATTTGTCATAGTTAAATCTTGAAAGCAACCCGAAAGAGGAATGGATAAAGAAGATGTATTTTTACACAATGGAGTATTATTCAGCTATCAAAAAGGATAGATTAGAGGCTTTTCTTGATAAATGGATGCAAAAAGAAACCATACTCTGAAGTGAAATAAACCAGTACTGCATGTCAAAGCATTGTATTGTATCCTTGGTGCAAGCACCTGAAAAAATAAATAAAATCTGAAAAGTATAATAGATACTGTGAAAAGAGAATGAACCTGTTCAAAAGGAAGGAATTACTGAGATGAGAAGGACAGAAGAGGGAGTCTGGGAAACAGATATAAGCATGCATATAAGCATGATGGTTTGAATAATTGTACTGTAGATTTCTGCTGGTCTACAGAAGAGATGTTAATGCTTAATTTTCTTTATCTTCTTTTTAATTTTTTTCTTTTTTCTCTCTTTTTAATTTCTTTTTCTTTTCTTTTCTTTTTTTTAAGTGGAGCCAGGGGTTGAACTCAGGCCCATGCGCTTGCCAGACAAGCACTTATTGAACTGAGCTATCTCCCCAGGCCCTCTCTTCTTAATTTCTTTAGCTTTTTTCTTTGTTTCTTTTTTCCAGTTATGCATGCATATATCTGATAATCTGAACAACTACTTTGAAGGCAATACTATGCAGTACAACAAATACTGTTGAATTCATATTATTTTGCTTGGTGAAATTCTGTATCATTTTTTTCTTTTTTATTACTATTTTATATTGTCTTAAAAAATAAGATTCATTGCCTTAATCCCTTCAGGTGACCACAACATAATAAAACTGGTGACTAATCTTTCCCCAAAAAAAACAAATTCAAACTCTTCTATCAAAATAATTTCATATGTAGAGCCAGATAGTTCAGTGGATTAAAGCACTTTCTTAGGCAGACACAAGGACCAGGGTTCAATCCCCAGCTTTCCATGCCAGCTCCACCCCTGGGGCATGCTGAGATGGCATCTGAGACTGGGCATGGTGGCACATGCCTATAATTCCAGCACTTGGGAGGCTGCAAACAGGAGGATCACTCCGAGTCTGATCTGTGTAGTAAGACCCGATAGTTCCTGTAATAAATACAAAATAATAATAATAATAATAATAATAATGGCAATAATTTTATAATTTGCTGTGATAAAATGGGAATTTGAATAGAAAAATATCACCTTTATGAAATCTACACAAATGTGTGTTCTTTGGCTGAGGCAAGTCCAGATCTCTCTTCCCCACACTCACACTGTTGTAGCTCATGCCTCATAATTTACACTTTCAGCTTTTTGTGGGATTCTCTGATATTCTCTATTAGATGAACATTATATCTTTTTAAAATTTTATTTTGGGAGATAGATGGCTCAGTGGAATAAGCACTTCCCTGGCAAGCGCAAGGGCCTGAGTTCAATCCCCGGTTCTGGAAAAAAAAAAGTTACTAAAATTTTATTTTAAGAGAAAAAATAGAAATAACAAAACACAGTTTAAAATGACTAGTAGGGGAGTAATAATATTTAATGCAGTATACTTTGCTATCTTCATAGTAGTTACTTAGAGTATAAGATGGTATGAAATATGCTAGCAATATTAGCTCAAAGTTTTCCTTTCAAAGAACTAAGAGAAACTAAATGAACTTGTTTCCTTTGTCCTTCCTTCCTTTCTCCTTTCCCTTATCACAATTTCTCTATTCTTTTGAACAATTTCTTTCCAACTCACAATGTCTATTGTAGATTTTGGAACATTTCTTAGGGAAGACAGTCTTCTATGTTTCCATATACATCTTCTTTGTAAGTTATATACATGGTAAGAATATTAGTGATGAGAACTTTAGCTCCATCATCTGATTATTGCTTTTTTGCCCTTAAAATTTCCTGAATAGAAAGGTCCATGAAAGTGCTTAACCTTTGAGGCATTGTAAATATTCAAGGCTGTGCAAGGTCGTTGGTTTTATAATGAATGGTTTCTTCCAAACTTTAGATATATCAGTGATAGCTTTCTAGAATTTGGAAAGTATCTCTATCACAGAACAGAACATTTTAAAGTTTATCCTACAAGTATACAGAGCTTACCTTTTTATTTTTGTTACACTAAAACATGACTTTTCTATGGAAATGATTATACCCTGGTATTTTTTCATAGAAAGCCCCATGTTTTTATGTAACTTTAACTCAGACAGTAGAAATCATTAGGAAACTATCACTCATTTGAAGAATTTGTTAACACAGAACTTTCTATAGGTGTGTGGTCTACACAAGGGGCCAACAAAAGCATCAGGATAGTCATACCTCTCTCCTAGGGCTGTAGCTCTCACCAAGGGGCTGTGACCTCCATAATTGCAATCAGCTTTCCTCATACCAAAAGCAATTTTGAGAAGTGTGCCTCTAATTAACTAGAAATTTCTTTATAAAATGGATCAATACCTGGGCTTTAAAGAATGGATGCAGTTTTCTTAATCCTAAAGCATTATTTAAATATGATTATAGATCATAGAAAAATAAAGGATACTAATAAATAGAATAAAAGGTTGAGTGCTTTGCTTTTCCTACAATTTTAACATGTATTTTTACTTTTAAGAAACAATGAAATTTAAATTTATACATTCTATTTTTGTGGTTTCTAAAGAGTAGAATAAAAAATTGTAAATACTAGCAGATAGTAAAATTATTATGAATTCTTAAAACTTCTTTCCCTTTTTCTAAAAGATATGATGTGTATATTACATAATGAACTCATGACTCTCATCTATGTTTCATAAGATTTTCCTGCTGGGTCAGTCAGCATCCGTATCTACTGTGATGGAATTCTAACTGCCACTTCAGAGATGAAATACTGCTCACCAGCCGCAGTGGCAGAAGGTCCAGCTAAAGTGGCAGGCCCAGGAGGGAATCTGTGCTGGGTATGTGAAACTTTCCATGGTGTTAATCCAACAACGAACTGAAGAGCTCATGCAAGTGAAAAAGATGTTTATTCTGGTGTGAAGTTAGATTGTGTGTTGAATAAGAATGAGCTATTTGACCCAGAGGAATGGGTGAAGCCCACTGTGGTGCAGAGATGTAGGCTAATGTCTTCCTCAGGTTCAGTCATTCCAGATGACGCCAGCAGGAGAGAGCATGCCAGTTACAACACGAATATTGTGGGAAATCTGTTCTAAAACTGTCACATAGAATATAAAGAGAGGTTCCAGTGAGGTGGTACACACTTGTAACCCCAGCTATCCTGGAGGTTAAAACAGAAAGATCATAAATTTCAGGCCACTTAGCAATTTAACAAGGTCTGGGAAACCTATCAACTTAGCAAGAACATATCTCAAAATAAAAAAAATAAGGGGCTGGCAAGATAACTCAGCAGACAAAAGTGCCTGCTAATCAAGCTTAGGCAAGGGCAGGAACCACAGTTCGATCCCCAGCATTATATGCCACACCAGGCCTGCCCGCACCGCATGCTAAGCAGGCCAGTCTGGGCATGGTGGTGCATGTCTGTAATCCCAGAGCTGGGGGGTGTATGGGGCTGAAAGCAGGAGGATTATCAGGAGTCTGAGCTACATAGTGAGGCCCTGCAACAACCAGAGGCTCACTATAAATAATAAATAAATAAAAACATAAAAAATAAAAGTGATAAAGGCATACCTCAGTGGCAGTGTGCCCCTGTGTTTGATCCCCGTTATCACAAAAAAAGAAAACAGAAAGAAAAGGAACGGAATCCATCCCGCATGGATTTTGGAATGGAACAATTATGTTATACAGAAAATTAAGCCATTAGCTTAACTTGTATATTTTCTTTTTATTGCTTGACCCACTTGTAAGAAGAAACTTGTTTAACATGGAAATTCAGCCTTTCTTCCATCAAGTTTTCAGAGTGAAATAAATGATTTTTTCTGCTGTTTATTGATTAGAATTATAATTATTTCTTATTTGTTAGGTGGAAGAAGGAAAGATGGAAGCGGAAGTAAAGAAAGATATAGTAGGATGGAACAATGTGATCTTCAAATTTAGCACTAAAAAACCTAGAAGATTTGTAGAGAGTGGATGTACAGGTTTATGTGAAGCCTTATGTGTTTTAACTAGTTTAAAACTGGAGACTTTCTTAGTGAGACACAATTTTTCTGTTAGAGCTCTCGTTTATGAAGGACATATTTTAGAACGAGAAAAAAGGTAATAGTGTCTGAGAGAGGCACAGAGTGAAATAGCATTTGTCAAACTAGAGTCTGAAGACATTTGACAAAAATGTCTACATTGTAATTGTAAAGCAAGTACAAAAGTAGTAGCTTAAAATATGGATAGCTTCATTGTCTTCTGACAAGTCTACCTTGTCTTCTACTTAACAATTCTGTTCATACAGCAGATGGACAAAGATGATAGCACAGCTTTATCAGTATTCAGACAGCAGAGTATGAACCCCAAGTGTATTTTGCTGTTGGTTTTTCTGTTAGCGGAAAGCTTTGTATAGTGAACATTAAATGTGATTTATGACTCCTATACGGTTTTTCACAATGCAATAAAATGCATATCATGATGTCTTCTGTAACTTGAAGTGAGTACAAACTTTTTGCACAGTTTTTAGATGCTTAGAAAATGTTCTGTTCTGTTTTCACCCAGGGTATCAGAGAGGAGAGGCTGGGCTGCACTTGGAATTTGTCCTCTACCTCGCTTGGGGAAGGGAGGCATATGGGGTAGAGGCCAGGAGGAAGGAGCCCTTGTCAGCTAGAGGTTTGAGTCCCAAGAGAGGATGATTCCAACACACACTATCAATCTTGGTGGAAACGGACCACCAAGAATGCTGGTCAAATTGCCTTATCTTGAGATAGATCCAGGGCTCTTGTTGCATGTCCAGGAGACTCAAATGTGCTAAGAACAAGAGCAAACACTCTGAGATGGCTGTCATTCCACTATCCTGTTGACATCCAGGAAAGGCAGCCTGCACCTGCACAGATGTGACCTGGGCTCACCTCAACCCTCTGCAGCCCACACAACTCACCTGTGAGTTCACTGACAGACCCACCAGATGAGGGACATTCAGGGTGTCCCCTCAGGATGTGGGCTAGCTGGACCTTATCGGCAGTCACCCTGCAAGGTGCTTCTCCTGTAGACTCTCCTAGCTGTAGCATAGGTCATGTATAAAGACATTTATTTAAAAAAGCAGTTCTCTTCTTTCTCAGAATAATGAGATAATCGTTTCTTTCCTATGAAGCTCTGTTGCTAAAGTGGGAAAATCAGGTATTGTGCAAATGGTGTACTGAACATCTTTTTTCAGTATACACTGTAATTCTATTTACTAAAGTTTCTGTGTGTTTGTATACATTAGCAAATTTGAATTTTTTCAACATCCTCCTTACTTAGCTGAAATGATATACTATAAAAACCACCTTGAATTTTACAGCATTTTTAAAAGCAGATAGAATTTTAGTGATTGTAAAATTAGTAATAAACTCATTCTTATAGTATTTTGAAATCTATTTGGCATATGGAAACATGAACACTGTGTGAATTGAGGAAATAATCAATAATGAGAAATATGTAGGTTTTATTCTTCAGTATGATAAGAAATTTTCTACTTTTATTTCAGAGCTATTGGGCACATAGTGAAATGATCATTCTGAGAGCCTGAGAAAAGAAATCACTCAAAAAATGATGCCAATAGGGTTCAAGACATTACCTGAGCCAGCTTAATTTTCTAACTGCTTCTTAGATCATTGCATCTTATTTTTAATAAATATTAAATCCCAGAACATAATTGCATGGTCACAATTTCCAGAATTTCAATTAAAATTGAGAAGATAAGAGAGATTTAAATGACAAAGAAAAGCTCAATAGGGGAGATAATTAGAACTTAAATACAAGTGTTAGAAATACTAATAACTCCTGTTTAGCTGAGATAATTAAAACCTTTGAGACCTTCATCCTATTTTAAAAAAGTGTCTGGGGGCAATTATAAAGTTAACTTTGTATAAGGACAACTACATAAAATTTAATACAAAATTAGGTTGAGACACTAAAATAGT